TTAATGTAGAGTTACCTAAGAGTTAATGTAGAGTTACCTGAGAGTTATTGTAGTTACCTGAGAGTTAATGGGGAGTTATGAGAGTCAATGTAGAGTTACCTGAGAGTTAATGTAGAGTTACCTGAGAGTAATTGTAGAGTTACCTGAGAGTTATTGTAGAGTTACCTGAGAGTTAATGTAGAGTTACCTAAGAGTTAATGTAGAGTTACCTGAGAGTTATTGTAGTTACCTGAGAGTTAATGGGGAGTTATGAGAGTCAATGTAGAGTTACCTGAGAGTTATTGTAGAGTTACCTGAGAGTTAATGTAGAGTTACCTGAGAGTTATTGTAGTTACCTGAGAGTTAATGGGGAGTTATGATAGTCAATGTAGAGTTACACAAGAGTTAATGTAGAGTTACCTGAGAGTTATTGTAGTTACCTGAGAGTTAATGGGGAGTTATGAGAGTCAATGTAGAGTTACCTAAGAGTTACTGTAGCATTACCTGAGAGTTATTGTAGAGTTACCTGAGAGTTATTGTAGAGTAATTTGAGAGTTAATGTAGAGTTACCTGAGAGTTATTGTAGTTACCTGAGAGTTAATGGGGAGTTATGAGAGTCAATGTAGAGTTACCTGAGAGTTATTGTAGAGTAATTTGAGAGTTAATGTAGAGTTACCTGAGAGTTATTGTAGTTACCTGAGAGTTAATGGGGAGTTATGAGAGTCAATGTAGAGTTACCTGAGAGTTACTATAGCATTACCTGAGAGTTATTGTAGAGTTACCTGAGAGTTATTGTAGAGTTACCTGAGAGTTATTGAAGAGTTACCTGAGAGTTAATGTAGAGTTACCTGAGAGTTATTGTAGTTACCTGAGAGTTAATGGGGAGTTATGATAGTCAATGTAGAGTTACACAAGAGTTAATGTAGAGTTACCTGAGAGTTATTGTAGTTACCTGAGAGTTAATGGGGAGTTATGAGAGTCAATGTAGAGTTACCTAAGAGTTACTGTAGCATTACCTGAGAGTTATTGTAGAGTTACCTGAGAGTTATTGTAGTTACCTGAGAGTTAATGGGGAGTTATGAGAGTCAATGTAGAGTTACCTGAGAGTTACTGTAGCATTACCTGAGAGTTATTATAGAGTTACCTGACAGTTATTTTAGAGTTACTTGAGAGTTATTGTAGAGTTACCTGAGAGTTAATGTAACGTTACATGAGAGTCAATGTAGAGTTACCTGAGAGTTACTGTAGCATTACCTGAGAGTTATTATAGAGTTACCTGAC